GGGGGGGGGGGGGGGGGGGGGGGGGGGGGGGGGGGGGGGGGGGGGGGGGGGGGGGGGGGGGGGGGGGGGGGGGGGGGGGGGGGGGGGGGGGCGTGGAGGTGCTGAGGGAGCCTAGACTGGTGAACCTGGAAGGCGGGGAGGGCTGCTCTGAGGAGGTGAGGGTTTAACGTGGACGTGCACACGGAGCAGGCGAGTCCCGTGGATGCTGGGGGACGGGGTCTGAAGCAGCGGAACCGTCAGCGCCAGGCCGAGGCTAGAGCCCAGCGGGCCCTGGGGGGCGGGATGGAGGGGTCCCGTCAAGCCCATGCGCCTTGGGGAGAGCCGGGCTCCTCAGAGGAGCTGACGGGGGCCGATTGGGGTCCTTCCTAAAGGAAGAACCCAGCGGGATTCTCGGGTGCGGCGGTCTCTAGGGCATCCCCCTTACTGACCAGAGGGGAGCTGGGGCGGGGGGCAGGCCAGGCCTGTGGGAGCTGCTGCCAGACCCCAGCCCGCCCTCCCTAGGTGGGCTATGAGCTGAAGGATGAGATTGAGCGCAAGTTCGACAAGTGGCAGGAGCCGCCGCCTGTGAAGCAGGTGAAGCCGCTGCCGGCGCCCCTTGATGGGCAGCGCAAGAAGCGAGGCGGCCGCAGGTGGGGCCCGGGGAGTGGCGGGGCGGGGCGGGGACCAGCTGGGCAGAAGGGCCGAGGCTCCCCCTTTCCCGCTGACCCCCTGCCCTGCCCCAGGTACCGCAAGATGAAGGAGCGGCTGGGGCTGACAGAGATCCGGAAGCAGGCCAACCGCATGAGCTTCGGAGAGGTCACACCCCTGCTACCTCGCGCCCCCCCCCACCCCCTCCTCTCCTTCTGTGGCCATGGCAGCACCTCAGCCTCTTTCCTGGTCCCCTGGCCTCCACTCTGTCCCAGCCCCAGAGGGATCTCCGTGACAGCACAGGCCCCCAGGCTCACCTCCCCCCACCGCCGTGCTGTCCAGGGCTTCCCAGACCCCACTCCTGCCAGGCCCTTGCTACCCGAGCATCACCCCACTGGTCCTGCCAGAACTAGTTCACGTGTCCTCAGTGAAAACTATTTCGGTTTTTCACACAGCACAGACACACACACACATTCCCTCTCATCTCAAGCAGTAGTAACAGGACCCGTGCTCCTCACTGGGGCCCCAGCAAGGCTCACTGCACTCGGGACCCAGGTGGTTGCCGATGGGATGGAGCCCTGGGCTGACTGAGTGGTGGCTGACATCTGGACGTCTCCCCTCCCACCAGATCGAGGAGGACGCCTACCAGGAGGACCTGGGCTTCAGCCTGGGCCACCTGGGCAAGTCGGGCAGCGGGCGCGTGCGGCAGACACAGGTGAACGAGGCCACCAAAGCCAGAATCTCCAAGACACTGCAGGTACGGGCCAGGCCCCGGGGACGGGGGCAGGCCTGGGCGTGCAGACGCAGGCCACAGCCCTGAGTGCCCTTGCCTTCCCCGTAGCGGACCCTGCAGAAGCAGAGCGTGGTGTACGGTGGGAAGTCCACCATCCGCGACCGCTCGTCGGGAACCGCCTCCAGCGTGGCCTTCACTCCACTCCAGGTACCGGCCCTCTGGAGGCAGGAGGCCCAGGGAGAGCCGTGTTCCCCATCCTGGGCTGCTTCCTTACCTGTGCCCCCCTTTGGGGCTGCCATGGGCTTGGGGGGGCTCCAAAGAAGCCCCCGAGGCTGTATCTGGGTTCCCAGCACACGGCGAGGTTCGCAGGGACCGCTGAGTCTCTGTGGCCCCGAGCAGGCCCAGCTGCTCCCACCCCTGAGGAATGCCTGCTGAGGTCCGGGGGCACTCACAGGCGCTGAGATGGGCAGGCACACACAGCAGTTTTGCCCTTTTGGAGTTTATCTTAGGGTCAAACAAGTAAGACACACAATGTGTCGGGAGGTGGGAGGTGCTGGGGACTGAGAGGACCAAAGGAGACGGCGCTTCCGGGCAGCCTCAGTGAGGTGGGGATCTCTGGGTGTAAGACATCTGGATCAACGCCGGCCACACGTCAGACCCCCAGAGCTGGCTGTTAAACCCTCGCTGGGGCTGGTGTGGTTCGTGCTGGGACTGCAGGCAAACCTCCTGCTCCTGGGACTCGGTTTCCTCATTCAGGAGCCGAATGGGATCAGCCTTTCTCAGGTGGTGTTTTAAAAATCGCCTGGGGAACTTGTTACAAATTCAGGGATCCAGGTCCTCCCTGCTCCCCTCACCCCCAGAACCACAGAGGATCTCCCAGGGTGGGGGAGACTTGGAGGCTGGCACATCCTCCACATGCTTGCCCAGCACCCCAGGCCCATCAGGAAGGGTCGTGGGCCCCTGACAGGCCACGATTCCCTCACTGGGAGGCTGTTAGAGACCAGGCCGTCTCCCCAGCCCACCCCGTGTCCCTCCCCTGCCCAGGGCCTGGAGATTGTGAACCCACAGGCAGCAGAGAAGAAGGTGGCGGAGGCCAGCCAGAAGTACTTCTCCAGCATGGCCGAGTTCCTCAAGGTCAAGGGCGAGAAGAGCGGCATCACGTCTACCTGAGGGGGGTGCCCGGCCGTCGCCGGCCAGAGGGACACGGGACCCCCCTCTCTGAGGAGGTCGGGGTCTGCAGGGGCTGGGGGTGCTGGCAGGGAGAGGCACCCAGGCCAGCCACTGTTGTGTGAACAGCCAGGAGGCCTGGGAGGAGCCCGGCCCCACGCGCGGAGCTCGCCACCCCCTCCACAGACACGCAGCCTGGCTTCATCATGTGTCGTCTTTATTTTAACTGGGAAAGGAGGTACCTTTGGAATGGATGTAATTAAAAGCACATCATCAGGATCCAGTCTTGGCGAGTGAGCGTTTGTCAGCCACCTGGGTGGCTGAGGAGTCAGCGCCCCGGGGTCTGGGGAACAGAGCTCGGGCTTCACAGGACCCAGGTCCACCCCTGGGCCTGTCACCTCGTGGGGTTCCGGGGCGAGGAGCACCCTCTCTATCTCCAGGCCCCTTCAAGAACTCCGCTCATTCCGAGGCCCCAGCTTCCAGCACAGGCCACCTGGCTGCTCGTGGCATCTTGGGCGGTTGTTCCACCTTCCAGGCCTCCCCACTGACACCACCAGGCACACACGTGAGGACAGAAGGATGCTCAGGAAACACTCAGCACCGGACTCACCCTCAGGGCCCTGTGACAGGGGCCCTGCTGTTACTCCAGTGTTGGCTGAGGACTTCCCGCTCCCACCCTGATGCGTCAAGCCCTGCCTGTGCGGGGCAGACAGGCACCCTGCCCTGGGGGGGACCCAGCACTACGAAAGCACCTGCCAGGTAAGGGGAGTGCTGTGCCTCCAGGGGCCGCCTGCTCTGTGCTAGGAGCTGGCTTCAGAGCTACTTGCTGACCTGCAAGGTCAGCCATCCTTAGCTACACTGGAGGAGCAGCCCCACTGGGAGCCAGGCCTCTCCAGCTCGCAGTTTCTCCCTGGGTCTCTCCCCAGCTCATGGGGTCCTGGCTGAAATCTCTACATGGGACTCCCCCGTCACCATTCGGGGCTCTGTGTGTCTCTGGACCCCCAGTCTGCCCCTCATCCCAAGGCTACTCTCCTCCTCCCTCACGTGAGAGAGTCTGCACACCTGGGAGGTTCTTTCCGAAGGTCATATAACCCCAGGCCACAGAACTGTCTTCCCAGACTTACCCTGGAACTGTGTAGATCAGCCTTGCTTGAAAGTGACGACCTTTGCTGACCTCTGCCTGTGGGTGTGCCAGGGAAGAGCCACCTGTCAGAATCCCCGTGCCCCGCTGGCCAGATTGAACCGTTGAACCAGTGGACGGGGGCACGGAGGTGCAAGTCTCAAGAAGGAATCTAAGTCACCCGATAGTGCTGCATCCTTAGAACAGTTTCTCCAAGTTTAGTACGCTTCAGGATCAGCTGGAAGGAGAGTTTGATTCAGTTGGTCTATGTGTACTTGTGTGTCTTTAGTCTTTCACTCATGTCCGACTCTTTGTGACTGCGTAGCCTGTGGCCCCCCAGACTCGTCTGTCCGTGGGATTTCCCCGAAGAGAATACTGGAGTGGGTGACCATTCCCTTTGCCAGGGGATCTTCCCCACCCAGGGATTGAACCTGCGTCTCCTGCACTGGTAGAGGATTCTTTCTTGTTGATCCACCAGGGAAGCACATAGTCTGTGGTGGGGCTCAAACACATGACTAACAACTTCACAGGTGGTGGTTATTGCGGCTCATGCCGGGACCCACTTTGAAAACTACTGCTCTAGAAAGTTCTCTACCAGATTAGCAGCATGTTGGAATCATCTTCAGAGTCTGAATTACCAATGTCTGGTTCCCATCCCAAGAAACTCTTGATTTAATTGGTCTAGGACAAGGCCTGAGTATCTGAATTTTTTTAAATCCCCAGGTGCTTCTAATGTGCAGCCAAGTTTGAGAACCATTGCTCTAGACCCTTGCTACTCAAAGTGTGAACTGTGGGCCATCACCATCGCCTGGGAATCTTAGAAAGCAAGGCCTGGGACCTCCTGAATTAGACTTGGCATTTGACAAATCCCCAAGGGATTTTTGAGCAATCTTACAGGCACTACTCCATCCAGGGGCTACATGTTGAATAACAAGGCTGTTCTGGATCAATAACTCTTCAACTCTAGTGATCACCCACGACGTTTGTAAAAATAGAGATCCCCAGGCTTCACTCCCCAGGTCTGTGCGAACCTAAAAGCAGCGCCTGCCTTGCCACAGGTGATTCCAATGTCCTCAGCTGCATCTCCCCTGGACTTAGCTTACTTTCCTCCTTCCAGAGGAGCTAAGCAGACCTGATTTCCCATCTCCTCTGTGTGACCCAGGGCAAATGCCTCCTGGTTTGCAGAAGCACCGGTACCTAGCAAGTCTTAACCACAAGTTATCCCCGTATTCATCCATGTATTCATTCAGCAAATGGTTACCGACTGCTTTCTACTGAGAGAAGAAGACTCAAGTCATTAGGAAAAGGATGGCATACTCGCAAAAGTAGATGCTAATTAACAGGGCTCATGGGACCACTCAGAACGGGAGGTCAGGGAAGTTTTCCCTCCAAGAGAAGACCACCGAGCTGAGATCTTAAAGCCCAGTAGGCGACGATCATGGTGGGGGGAGGTGCGCACGGGAGTAGGGGGTGGACAGGGAATCCCATCTGTACCTTCTGCGGCATCCTCACGACAACAAGCGAACGGAGGTGCGGAGGAGAGATCCTGTTCCACAAGCACGTCACCATTCAGAGGAAGGACAAAAACTCCATGCCTCCATGCCGCTTCCCAACCAATGCAGCTATGCGTGATGTCAGTGATTTGGGGCATTGTCTTCTGCTTCCTTCCTTTAATTCCATCCTCTAAGTCTCAAAGATGGGCCACAGGCACTTGGAGAAAGACCGTACAACTGAGAGACCTGTCCGCCTGGCCAAGACACAAGGCAGGCGGAAGGATGCGCGCTAGTCCCAAGCCTGCCTGCTACGCCAGGTTTCACACGCTTCCAGGAGCGGGTACCGCCCACTCGTCACATCATTGGACGGCCAGAAATGAACGACAGCCAGGTCCATGAACGGGAAGGGGTGGGCGATCTTGCCTGGCTCCGCCCCGGGGCTGTCTTGATTGGCAGTTACCTTCAACCCCGGCCCCCGATTTGAAGGCACCTGTCTGTTTCCGATTAGGTACGCGGCCTTTAACGCCTACTTGCCATGCCTTCCTCCGCTTTCCCCACCCACTCTCTGGACCAGCCAATTACTTCAGGGCAGAATGTTTCCCCCCCCCCACACCCCACAACCAATGGAAGACGGCTCCAAACTTGACGGAGGACTTCCCGCCCCTGATCAGCCTAACTCCTCCCTCCGACCAATTGGGTTACTAGAGGGGGGCGGGCGTACCCAATCAGGGCGACACAGGCATCTGGATTGACGCACAAGTCCTCGCGCTGGCGTGTTGTGCCCCGAGGCGGGAGGAGGAGGCGGAGCGGGGAAGAAAGCCTGAGCCAATCCTAGCAGCCCGCGCGGGAAGCCAATCGAACGCCGCGCCTTGCAAAGATTGTCCAATCATCGAGAGGGGGCCGGCCGCATCCCCAACAAGAACCAATAGAGCGAGCTCGACGGGCAAGAGCGACGTGCGGCCGGAGCAATGATAGGCCTATATTCGGGGGTCGGGGGCGGGTCGGCGCCAGAGACGAGAAGAGAGGAGGGGAGGCCTCCTCCGCCGCCGCCATCTTGGACCGGGCCCGGTCAGCTTCCGCGGAGCCTTCGGCAGACGCCGCGGCCTCCCTTGAGCCCCGACCCCGTCGTCAGAACAACCCCGGGCCCACATCCCCCCACCCCACTTCCGCTTCGCGCCGCTATCGCGATAGCGCCCGGGCCCGGGGCGCGAGAATAAGGCGGCGGGCGCTCGCCTCCCCCGCCTGTCGCGATACGCTCCTCAGCGGCGGCGCCAGCTCCTGTGGTGAGAGCGTCAGGCTCGACTGGGCCGGACCCCTTCCCCTCCTCCCTCGGCGCCGTCGGCCGCCTTCCCCGCCGCCTCCCGCCCCTGCGACCCCGCCGCCTGTCGCGACATGGCCGGCGCGGCGCCCCCGCCCCCGCGCGGCCCTGGCGCTCGCAGTCTGCCGGGCGGTGCGCGGCCCCCGCACGCACGCCCTCCTCCTCCACGCCCCTCAGCCGCGCCCGGGGGTCTTCCCGCGACCCCGGCCCCGCGCGGCGTCCGCGTCGGGCCCCCGTGGGGTGTGAGGGTGCGAGGTGCCCGCCCCTCTCCGCGTCGGTATTGGCTCCTCGCTGGAAGGATGGAGGCGCCCCTGGCCGCAGGTGCCCGCCCTCTCGGGGCTCAGGTGCCTGCCCCCCACCCCTCGGCTGCAGCCCCTGTGCTGGTGGGGGGCGGTCTCCGGTTGAGGCTGCCCCCTTCGCGTGGGTGTAGGGCTGCGACTCCCCCGGACGAGGAGAGGGGGGGGTCACCCTTCCCGGGGCCAGGGATCCCTCTTCCCCGCTCCCTTCCCACCGCGGGCGCCACTCTCTTTGGGGAAGGGGTCGGGGCGGGGGTGGGTGTCAGTTCCCTGGAGTGAAGACATCAGCTCCAGAGCTTGGAGTCTCAGCCCAAGTTTCTGTCTCTGTAGTAACAAGTCCTCCAAGTCTAAGGCTTGACAAGTCCACCAGGTCTAAGGCTTGCACAGCCCTCAGCCCAGGCCTTCCCCTGCCGGTGTCACGACTGTTCTCGGTGTTGCCCACTTGGGCCTCGGCTGTTACTCTTGAGTATCTGTTCCTGGCTCTTCTGGACGCTCTCTCTCCTGGATCCACACTCTGCCCAGCCTGCTCCGGGTGTGGACTTCCTCTTGATGTCACTCCTGCCTCAGGGTCTTCTTGGTGGGACTGCTGAGCTCCTGTGGGTCAGCCATCTCCTGTTGGCGGGCAGCACCAGCACCTCTCTTTCTAAGTAGGACCTGCCTGTCAGCCCAGGGGCGATCCCCTCCCGCACGGTTGCTGCTCCCGTCCTTTGGTACTGGTTGTTTTGGCTCCTCTCCGCCCCATTGCCCTCACCATGTCCACTGTCACTTCCCTCGGTCTGAGGCTCCTGCCTCCATTCCCATCAGTCCCTCCACTGGGGTGTGATCCTGCCAGGGGGCAAGGGTCCAGGCCCTGGGTGTTCATTTCGGGCTCCTCACTGTGGCTGTGGAAGCTCCCCAGCCCTAAAGATTGCTCTTGGTGTAAGCAGTCAGGGAACCCGGGCCCAGGCCTGCCCAGACCACCCTGCTGGAGCCCCCTCGGGGTGTAAGGTTTCTTCAAGCTGAGCTTCCTGTACTGTGCGGTGCGGGGTTTGGGGTCAGAGTGGGGCTTTTTCCCCAGGGTGAGGAACTTCTCTGCTGCCTTCTCCAGGGGTAGGGTCTTGTCGTTGTTGGGTTGGCATGGACCACTGTTGGACTTGAGGTGTCTGTGCCCTTTTGTGTGCCCCCACTGTGGGACTGAGGACCCTTCCCGATGCTGGTGCCCAGGGCTGATGCCTCTGTCCTGCTTATGATGTCCCACTAGCAGGGGAACTTGGCGTCTGCTCTCTCCTGAGGCCCAGCTTCCTTGATGTGGGGGGTAAGATGCCTGAGACTTGAGGGGAAGAACCCCTGTCATCACTTCCGCAGGACCGAAGACCCTGGGGTGGGCTTCCCAGTCCCCCAGCCTTGGTCCGGGCCTTGCAGCGGGGAGATAACCCCCTCCACCCCAGGGCCTAGTGCGTCCGTCTGCTGGTGTCAGTGGCCTCCCGGATTAAGGAAGGCCTTCCAGCACCACTCCCCAGCAGGCCAGGGTGCCTCACCCCACGGTACGTGGCAGCCTCCAGGGTTAGGGACCGCTTGGTATTAGTTCTCCAGGACTAAGGCTTCAGCTCCTCGGGCCTGTGTGTGGCAGAGTGGTCTCCCGTGAAGTGATGGTTTGGGGGGCTCTTCTGTGTGAGTTTTAGCCCCGCTCGAGTGGTTGTTGGTTCCAGTGGGTCTGGCTCACTGCTCACCCGCTACCCCCAGTATAGCCTCCTGACTCGTGGGGATGTGCCTTGCTCTTGGATGGAGTGTTTTGGTTAAGTCTCCTGGGCCAGGGTTCCCAGAGTCCTGGGTGCTGTTTGAGACTCGGGGCGGTGAGCGCACCTGCATCTCTCCCCCTGAGACCCCTGCCACGCCTGCCTGCCCTGGAGCTCCCTGGCGGCCCCCTTGAGAGCAGCAGTGCCCCAGTCCTGTCAGCCTGGGGCTCTTCTCTGAGGAGGGCTTCTCTGCCTCGGGACTCAGGCTCCAGCCCCCTTTCTAGGCCTTCCCTGGGGGTCTGAGGTACAGGCTCCCCCTTGCTGTGTGTGTGTCGGGGGGGCATGGTGCCTCCGCAGCCAAGGCTCTCAGCTCCTGTAGTACCGACCTGCCCTGGCTGTGAGCACCCGACCCGGCATACATGCCCTCCTCTGGAACCGCTGCCTTCCCCAGCTCAGGTGGTGTCTCCTCTCGGGCTCAGCCCTGCCCACTTGGAGGTTCTGTCTGAAACATCGCTTCCTTGGCTCAGGCTCTCCTTGACCCTGGCACTTTGCTTCCTTTGGGACTTCTGCTGCCACAGTCTGTTGCCCCCTCCAGAGGGTATCAACTCCTCTCCTGGGCTGGGTGCCCAGGCCCATTTAGTGTGGGGAGCCCCCCCCCCGAGGCCTGCAGTGCCCTGTTCGGGGTGTAAACCCTCCGGGTTGGAACGCCCATCCCTGCCGCACGTGGGGCTTCGGGAGCGGAGGCTCCTGTCTGCCTCCTGGGCCCCCACCCCGGGCAGGAGGCTGCGCTCCAGCATCGGGGTGTTGGCTCAGACGCACCCCTGCACGCCTCGTGGTGAGCCAGGCGCTGCCTCGCCTCGCTTTGAGCCCCTCTGTGCTACTGTCTCCTGGGGGCTTTTTCTGGCTGCCCCGTGCTCCCCGCCTGGGCGTGTCAGCCAGCTGCTCTTCCTCTCGCTTGGCCCTCTCCCCCGCCGCTCAGAGGTCGGCATCAGCAGAGTGGGTCCCTCTGGAGCGCGGGCCGTCCGGGCTGCTGCTGGTTTGAAGCCGTGCTCCCTGATACGCTGTCACTCCGGTGGCTTCTAGCGCGTTTTGTTGGAATCTCAACCAGGCAGCAGAGCCTGTAGCTGTGTTCTATGTTGCCTTTGCCACGCTCACAGACGGCACAGATGCAGGATGTTCTTGGCCCCATGGAAAGGTCTGGGGCACAGGACTCTCCTGGAGGCTCCCTTCTCTCTGTTGGAGGCCCTCCTGGCGTGACCTCTGTCTGGGTCGAGGCTCCTCAACCTGCTCGTTCTGCCTGGACAGTTGGGGCTGCTCGGGTCCTCCCCACCTCTGCAGGGACTTCCCTCCCCGAGGCTCGCCGTCTCTCCTGGGCTTGGGCTTGGGTCCTGAGGGGCGGCGTCCCCCCAGGGAAAGCTTCTGGTGGCTCTCCTGTGATCTCAGTCCCCTCTGGGTTCCGTGTCACTTGCTGTAGGCTGGAAATGCCCATCTCTGCATAGAGGAGGCTTGTTGGAGGGCTTAGGTATCCCTGAGTCTGCAGCACCGCCGCACCTGACCTGTAATTCCTTCCTGCATGGGTCCAGATAGCCCCGCCTCCGCCGAGGTTCCCTTCACCCTCATCTCTGTCGGAGCTCTCGCCTCTCCGGGGCCTCTCTGGTGGCACTCTGTGCCCCACGCCTCTAAGCCTTTTTGGTGTTGCCACTGTAGGTTAGTAGCGTTATCTTCTTCGGTTTAAGGATTCTCGTTTGGATTAAATTTATCAGAGGTCGAAGGCCGTCTTCTGCTTGGGTCCAGCCCTCTGTAAGGGGGTGGTTTTCGTTCTCTCAGTTGTAGGCACCTTCTGTCTGCCCCATCACACTTCCTCTCTGTTCCTGACAACTTCACCGTGTGTATGTGGTGTCCGACTCCTCTCCACAGGATGCAGCAGTCTCTGTCTACCGACTTGTCTGAGGAGTGACCTCTCCCTGTGTTACGATTCTGGTCACCTGTGTGCATGACTCCTCTGGGGAATCGTTGTCTCTGGGTCTAAGGCCTTGTCCCCAGCAGTCAGCCTGACCTGGCCGCGTGCCATTTTCCTGCTCCAAGAAATCCTTTTGAGTGTTACCTGGGGGAGAGGTAACACTAGGAATGCCCTAGGAATTTTCCACTGCCTGGGTCAGAGGCAGGCAAAAAATCTATTTCCTTGGTCAGAAACTTCTAAGAGTCCTCTCGTGGGCCAGACCTGTGCTGGGCAGTCAAGGCCGGAGGAGGAGAACTGGGCCTGATCTCTGTCATCAGATAGCTACTGCATCTCCCCCTTCACCCTCCACGCACCCTGCAGTGCCTGGCTTCGTTTGTGGCCCTCATCAGCCAGGAAGTAACCGTGTGTTCTTCTTGCTCTGTCCCAGCAGCGTCCGTCTCCAGGGGAGTATGAAGAGAGCGCGTCTGTAGGGCAGGGAAGATGGCGGACAAGCGCAAACTCCAAGGTACCAGGCTTCCCGCCGGTGTGCCACGTGCTCACTCCTCGGAACTCTTCGGGCGCCTGCAGCCTCTGGCAGGACGCTCACAGTCTCCTTTCCTCCCCGCCAGGTGAGATTGACCGCTGCCTCAAGAAGGTGTCTGAGGGCGTGGAGCAATTTGAAGATATTTGGCAGAAGGTACAGGGGCCGGGCCTAAAACTCCAGGTGCACCTCCAGGGATGGGGAACAGGACAAGGTTGAGAGCTCCCGA